TCTCTCTCTCTCTCTCTCTCTCTCTCTCACACACACACACACACACACACACACACACTCAAAAGGAAATCAAAATAAATTCTCCATCCCTCCGTTGATGAGATAGGAAACACAGGAACTTCTTCGCAAGGGAAGAAAAGTGGGGAGAGTGGAACGTTGGAACCTTCCAACCTAACTGGGCCACAGAGAGGACTCACAAACTGAAACTGGGGTACCATGTGACGACCATCCACCTGGGCTGACCCATGGGTCACCCAGAAGTGGGAGATGACTATCATCCTCCCTCAAATGGCCATTTAGCAATTGGTCTTAGCGACTTCCCCGGGTTGCAGAGGTGACCAGAATCCCAGTTTGCATTCGTTTTCATTTGAGGTCTGGGGGAACATTGCACGGCATCCATGATTGGCCTCCAGCATCTGGCTGAATTTAAACCACGCTTTTCCTGCTTCAACTGGGACACTGGTTTACTTTTTGGCTAGCTTTAAAACCTCGTGATGGGGAAGTGAGATGAAAGACACTAACTAGACCTGGGCTAAATTTCCCATCCTCTTTTCTGGGAGATTTGTTCTGGTTTGGAATATTGAGTTATCCTCCATGTATTCAGCTAGTTTTTCTAAGCAGTCCCAACCAACAAGGTTAGCAACTGTGTGCTGCACAAGGTGTCCAGGCTGCTTAAATGCTCAGGTTGCAAGCGGGCAGCAAAGTGTTTTCTCTGAGGAACGGGCACTTTTGTTGCATTAGGAATGTGAGCGTGGTTCAGCCCCGCTAGATGTAGCAGTCACCCAAGCCCTTTTTCCAAATGCCCGAATCCATTTGGGGCTTTAAAAGCAATCAGATGTGAAAGAGATGTGCTTCTTGCCCTAAGAGCTTACAAGTCAAAGATTCAGTGATGGGGGAGGGAAGAGTGGGGTTCCCCGTGTGACAGAAGAGTTTATTTTCTAGATAGAGTGCAAGTATAGAGTTCTGTCAGTCCTTAAAGAAGATAGACAGGAAGCTAAAGGAACTGGAGAAGAGGAGCAGTTGGCTGTTTTGAAAAGAGACACAGGGGAAGGGAAGGGGAGGGAGGGAGGGAAAAGAGAGAGGAAGGAAGAAGGGGAAAGAGGAAAGGGAGGAAGGAAAGAAGGAACAGGAATAGGAAAAAAAGGAAGGAAGGAAGGAAGGAAGGAAGGAAGGAAGGAAGGAAGGAAGGAAGGAAGGAAGGAAGGAAGGAAGGAAGGGGAAAGAGAAGGAGGGAGGGAGAAAGATGGAAGGGAGTGTAGAGAGAGAGAGGAAGGAAAGAGGGGAAAGAGGAAAGGGTGGAAGGAAGGAAGGAAAGAATAGGAATAGGAAAGAGATGGAGGGAAGGGAAGGGAGATGAGAGAAGGAAAGGAAGGGAAGGAAATCATTCTGTAAGGATTTTGGAGGTTTGGTAGTTTTTTTTAATGCATCTCTGAGTAAATGAGAGACAGAATATAGCAGCCCTCTACTCCACCCCTGATGGTTAAGATACTAAGTTACGGAAAAAAACAATCAGTAAGAGAATAGATCATTTCAGTCAACCATTTCATCCTTGTGGGGTGATAGCTCTGAGTCTTTAAATTATATTTATTGCATGCCCCAGAAAAGTCTTAGGAAAAAGTTTGTTTGGGGGCACACTTCTGAGCAAATAAACCTAGGTTTCCCCTATACATGCTGACACTGAAATGAAGGTGTTCCTGAAACAGCCCCTGAACTCTGGACCTCCGAGAACTTGTTTTGATCCTAACAGTGGTGGAACTGCTGATTAACTCCAGGAAAGGCCAGAAGTTCCACCTACAAGATGAGTAAAACTGGAGATGCTCCTGCCTGAAACCCAGAGTGTTAATGAGAGGTCTTCCATGCCAATGGAGGCCTTCATCTTCTCCAGTGTAAAGCCATTCCATGGTTCAGACAGAGACTCATCACCCATGCGTGGAGGGTGCCAGCTTGGAGAAGCTGCAGCAAGTCTTGGCATCCGTGAGGGGTTAAGATTTGTGGTTGAAATAAAGTTCTAGAAAGAGTAAGGCGGTTTAAAATATAAATGCGATTCCAAATTATGTACCTCAAAGGTGGATTTGATCAATATATGAAGAATAGGGGATCTATTCAGCATGGGGGTTAGCAAAAGAATATTACTTCTTATGATGCAAAGGCCCAGGTTTACAATCTTGGGTTGACGATCCATGTTTACTCACTGCTTATGGATTCTTGATTGCTATCATGGAAGCAGTAACCAATATTAGACAGCATTCCCAAGGTTTAATGCTGTGTTTACAAATGGATCTGCTTTGTATATGTCTGTCTGTACTTTTTCTTTTCGTTTCTGTTTGTCCCATGTAGGCGTGTGATTTTTGATTTCAGGGTATTGCAGGGGTTTGGCCACGAGATGGCAGCATTGCCATGTAAATGTTGCACTGCCGTTCCACCTTTAATGAACAGTTTGGCAAGTGTGCAAATCACATCCCAGACCCTGTTCTTCCCTTCCCATGACACAATGGGGATTTCACCTGATTGATTGATTGATTGATTGATTGATTGATTGATTGATTATGTGCCATTGAGCTAGACTAGGACTATAGATTATTGTGATTACGCGCCATCCAGTTGGTGCCAACTCTTAGCAACCACTAGATGGATTTTCTCCATGATGATCTCCATGATGATCCTCAGCCTGGTCCTTCAGCTCTTCCAATGGTGCCCCCATCACCACTGTAGCTGAGTCCCTCCACCTTGCTGCTGGTCGTCCTCTTCTTTTCTTTCCTTCCACCTTTCCAAGCATGATGAACTTCTCTAGGATTTGCATGGCTTGCCCAGACAGAAATCGATGGATTGATTGTGTGCCATTGAGTCAGTGCTGACTCTTAGCAACCACGTAGATAGATTTTCTTCACGATGATTTCTCTCTAACCTGGTTCTTCAGCAATTCCAGCGGTACCTCCATCACCACTGTCACTGAGTCCATCCTCCTTGCTGCTGGTTGTCCTCTTCTCTTTCCTTCCACCATTCCCAGCATCAGAGCCTCCTCCAGAGAGCTGGGTCTCCACATAATGTGTCTGAAGTGGGGTGGTTTGAGCCTGGACATTTGAGAACTCTGGGTTGATTGGTTCAATGACCCATCGGTTTGTTTTCTTGGCTGTCCGGTTGTTCACCTTGCTTTTTGTCTCCTGCAGTATGACTACAGCTTCCGGACTGAGCAGAGCGCCGCAGCAAGGCTCCCTCCCAGCCCCACCAGATGCCAGCAGTATCCGCCCTCCTGAAATCTCTCAACTCCTTGGAGTCTAACGCACACGTACTACTGAGAAGCGAAAGGATCCTCCTCCTCGCTCTGTAACCTTTTCCCCAGCCCCTCCTGCCCCCGACAAGCAGTATTAATGGAGGCCCTTCCAGCAGAAGGGACATGAAGCATTGGTTTTTGTTCTTCCTCTCTCTATTGGTCCCTCCCCCCCCCCCTTTGTACAAAATAACTGGATAGTATTTCTCTTCCTCTTTTTTATACCCACTTGTCCTTGCCGGTTTGCAAGTTTTCACTCGGCTGCGTGCCCCTTTGTACAAAATAACTGGATAGTATTTCTCTTCCTCTTTTTTATACCCACTTGTCCTTGCCGGTTTGCAAGTTTTCACTCGGCTGCGTGCCCCTTTGTACAAAATAACTGGATAGTATTTCTCTTCCTCTTTTTTATACCCACTTGTCCTTGCCGGTTTGCAAGTTTTCACTCGGCTGCGTGAGTCCTTTCTGACCCTCCCAGTTCCCCTGGGATCAGCCCCCTCGTGACTGAAGAGACATGGACCTCCATGGAGGCTTCTGTCTGTCTGGGTTAATTTATTGTGGTTTTTGTGGGTGTGGTTTGCATTCCTGATCATTGACTCCTCCGAGGAGCTGCTCCAACTCGGCTGAAGTGTCTTCTGCTAAACTGTCTAACAAAAATGAGAATAGGTTCCCTAGGGGGATGGAAATCTCAACAGGGCCGAGCTGATTGGCACTGACTTGTTTTGGAGAGGGGCCTAAGCGTGTCGTCTCATATGGTCTGGTAGACTCCATGGATAGATCTTTCTCTAAGCCAGAAGCATATCATCTTTAGCTGTTCCCTCTACAGCTGGCCAGCTGCATCTGGTGTCCCCCGGCTGACCAGAGGCAAGCCAGGTCCATCCTGTATCTCATAACCGGTGTTAGTTTTCTTCAGCACTGGCTTTTAAAGGGATGGGAAGCCTCTGGCGTTGCTTTCACCATCAAACTCACACCATCTTTGGTGGCTTGAACCAGCTTCAAGTGTGTTGCCTGAACGGGACTTCTTCTTTTGGAATTCTCCGAATCCCTTGCCCAAGTCAGCTGTCAAAGTGATCTTATTCAACTCCATTTCTGAGCCTTTTTAAAAAAAAATATATACATATAAATGATTTATTTCTTAGCTTTTTTTTTTTTTTTTTTGGCAAAAGGGTTTAGTCCCCATGCTCCTCTGGAAGGTCTAGAAATCTCCAGTGGTTCTCTCCACAAGTTTTGTGCATCTTGAATTCTTTCTTCTGTTATAAATAGTTGAATTGAGCAACTGAAGGGCCTGCTGATGTAACTGGGCTGCTTAAGGTGAAACTGTTTGTTCGGTGTTCTTCTGGAGATCTTGGCATAAGCCAAGACATTGATTCATAATGAGGCCAGATCAAGTATAATGTAAGCTCCAGTCCATGAGTAATGGCTCCAAACTTGTTACTAAAACTTAAATTATTTTGGGAAACCTGTGAACTCCTGTGCTGCTTTTTTGTGATTTGGTGCCAGAGAACAAACACTACATTGTAGAGGTGGGAGGAGGACAGATCCTTCTCTCTCCTCTTTCATTGATTTCCTTTCTCTTTGATAAAAACCAGGTGGAAAGTTTCCAGCATGTGACATGTAAATAAATACTGGTTTGTTTAACTGTATTAAAACGCAGTTGCCGTGGTTGTAAACCTCAACTGCTCTTGGGGTTATTTTAACTTTTTCTGTAGTAGTTGATTCATAGCAAAGAGGGCTGTTTTATACCACATAAAGTGGATGTCTTCCCTCTCCTGCCCCAACGGTTTACAAATGGCCTTGCAGAACTGGGTTTGTGGAGGGTTGGTTTGATGATGGGTCTGCAGCACGATCCAATCAAGCTGTTCAACCCTCCTGTCTTCCTTTTAGCAAGCATGATCCATGTCTTGATTTCTCTACCATTTCTTTGGTTTCGCCAAACTTCTCCGATTCTCATGGTCCACTGCCAACAACCCAACTGCCTTTCTCTGCCCGTCCAAGCAGAAGACCTTTGTCAAGGAATTAAGTAGGTAAGAGATCACAGCAGAGAAGTCCCTGGTTTAGGCAGTTCCTGAAGATACTTGGAAATCAGCCCTGCATATGGTAAAGATGCTTTTCCATTAACACAGTTCAAAGAGAGTTAATATGATGACCAGGGTGCGTGAATTGAATCTGGTTGAGGAATTTGATTTGAGTTTGGGAAGTCAGGTCAAATGAAGTTGATTTGGAAAGCCATTCTTATTCATTTATCATTTAGCTTGGTAAGCTGGCATACTGTACCTTTGGGTCATCCAGACGGAGATGGATCCTTGAAGGTTTGTGGAATCGGTTCAATACAGCAGAGCTTGGCCGTCCCCTTAATCAGGACTTCTTCCAGATGGAAGAAAGCAAACCTTGCTGCATTCAAAATTGCAATGTGAAAGCCACTTTGGGAGGACCTGTGTATGGAGAGATCCAGATGGTACGCCTCTGCTGCAGTCTTACCTTCTCAACAGCTGTGTGGACAAGAGAGACCCCAACCTGGTTGAACTCGTTTTTGTGGAATCGTTCTGTCTTGCTAGATGGTTTCCTGCCAGGCCGTAAGGTAGCCAACAAACTTCCCTGCCTCAAATTTTGGACAAGTACTGTTGGGTAAATTCAAATGAGGTTGAACTCATTCTGTGACCTTGTCTTCAAAGCCACGTCCTTGGTTCTTAGAACGCTGAAAGGTAAAACAGGCAGGAGGCAACCATCATAAATTGTATGGTCCTCAACTCCCAAGAGGAGAAAGGAAGCGAAATGGCATAAAGGCCAGTGGTGGCTTCCTGCAAGAGAAAGAATTAAACCCAACCAGGCCAATGCACCAGGGCAGAATATAATCCAGGGCTTAAAATGAACCTAAATGGTACTTCCTGACCTTTCTGCATTCTAAGAACCAAGGACGTGGCTTTGAATTCAAGGTCACAGATAGTACCAGAATAGCACCTCAGGCCAAGGGAAGGTCTTGTTTGTAATTAACACCTTGCAACATTCTGGTGTAAATTTAGGTGGATTTTCTTCCTTATCTGGTGAGAAGACAATGACAGATAATGTACTGCCAAGTTCTGGTGAAATTCTAAAGTCATACTGGCTTTCGTCCAACTGTTCTTGGGCACTGCTTCTCCTCCCCTACCCACCCACTGGATAGAATGCAATTTAACTTTTCTGCAGAGCAATGTTTGAGTACATGACACACCAAGGTTACCACTGCATCCCCCTTTTTTTAAAAAAAAAAAAGACTCTGTCATGGATGATTCTCAGAGAACTCTCTTGGCGTTACCATGAAACTTAATTTTTCTGAGACATTAGACTTCTTACATGGTATTTTGCCTCCCTCCAGTATTGATTGAATAGTATTTATTTCCATATTTGGATGTATACATGTAATTTAGGGTGCTTATATTTCATGCCACTCTTAAGTCCTTTACATTGCTTCCTTCCTTGTTCCATATTTTTTCCTTCGGGTAACGCATATATGGTCCTCTCAGTGTATCATTTCAAGTTAGAGGTTTGTAGAATCAAAACTGAAGTCAACTTCAGAAAAAAGGACCGACTCATCTCCCTTCACCATATGAAAGGGAAGGTGATGTTTTTAAACAGGAGCTATGCCTCTGCTTACAACCAGAAATGGTGGAAGACAGGAACCAAAAGGGTAGGGTGTCATGCCAAACTAAACTGGGCAAAATTTTCTTAGGAGTTCAGAGAAGAGAAGTGGAATTCAAGAACTCATCCTTGTTCTCTCAATACTGAAAAAGTTATCCATAAAGGAGCCTACGTCTTTTTTATTCTTTTTCTTTTCCTAATTGGCAGGTTGGTCCTGCCGCCGGGATCATCAGTACTTTCTGTTGTTCTTAAAGGCCATTTTTGATGGCCCACGTTGACCTTCATGCTCTGTCTCTCTGTGTTGGATCAACTCTCCTTATCCTTAGCCATTGACTAGAGATGGCGGAACATGAAGAAGCTGAAGGCCACCAATGGTTGGGAAGAAACAGACAGGTCCACTTCTACCTCCTGCTAGTAGAGGCTGCTGGTGTAACATTGTTTTGACCACCCAACACTGAAGAACTTTTTTCTCAAGCAGGGTAACCATCTTCCATGGATAGCGCTTTGTCCAGGACCAAGCAGTTGTGTGTGTCTCATCACAGGTAACAGTTGCACGCCTGTGGATTTTTTTGTCTAATCCCCACCAAGCTGGCTTCCCATCATATCAATGGGTGCAACGGACTTGCCTTGTTTACTGTATTGTTCCAGTCATTGCCACTAGACGGAGACAAAGGATTTGTGGATTTTTCTTGCAAATTCCAGTGCTGTTTGTGCAACTTTCCTTGGTCGTGAGTCTGAGTTGCACAAATGAAAATGGGTGCATTATTTTCTGTCCCCACCCACCCAAAACAGAACACAAATGCTGTTATGATTGGCAATTGGTGGGGAAATCTGTGGGATTCTCAGAAATGGGCGCTTGGAGGGTGACTTACAGGACTACACACACCCGTGGGCAGCTGATTGGTTCAGAATAGGTTAAATTTGTGGAGTATTTGTGTGTGTGTGAGTGAAATGGATTATTTGTTGTGTGAAATTCCATTTTGAAAAAGGTCGCCAATTATCTTTTTAAGGCTGAAGTTGGCCCTGTAGGTCTTGAGTTTAAAGAAAATAAATGTGGGCTCCTTTGAGGTGAAGGAAGATGACATCAGTGCAACATCCTGTGAAATGCATGGATTAAAACATCCATTTTGAACTATTTGATTCAACAAGCCAAAAAAAAAAAAAAAAAGTTAAGCAGCTGGGCATTTTTTAATTGTGTTGGTGTGTGTGTAGGTGTGACTGTTTTTTTTTCCTCCTTGAAGATGCTATGCATTTTATTTGTGATGGGACATTGAAAGTGGATTAAACGTGTTCATTAATCTTATTAATATTACCCTTTCATATTTATTTTAGATTACCTACTTTGTATTTTACAAAGGGAAACTCCTGTCTGAAAATTTAGTCTGTATTCTTAATATAATTTGTTAAATAAAAAAAATTAACCAGTTCCTTTTATTCTGTTCTTTGAAGGCTGTAGTTGTATTTTTGCTCCCATTTCGTTACAAAGGGGAGCGTGTGGAATCCGTCAATGAAGATTTTGCATATTGGAGGACCCTGACACTTTAGCTGCTCCCTGTGTGTGTCTGGAAACCCTGAGACA